AGCGTACCGCACCTCCAAGTTTGGTTCCAGGGGTCCCCGGTGACCTGTGTTCAGGCAAGGGAACGCTGTTTCAATCGACAGTCTTCATCATAAGCAGTCTTTGGGCTGTACTTTGTCTGATCCTTCACCTAGGACCTGATGACTGTACCAGGGGCATGAAACTCCAGACAACTTCTCTCCTGGGATCACTGGGACACTCATATCACTGTATCACCAAAAGGTGGCAGGCCAGGAAGTGTCATTAGTATACTGATAGAAATGTTCCCTGTGATGTCTATTCATTTGACCCAGTAGCATTTATACAAGTAAAGCGTATCCGGCCGAGCACCAAATCCTTATAATTGTGTAGTGTCATGAATGGCCTCTAATTTGTGACAAAGGTCACAGTTTCCCAGCTGGGTCAAGCTGGGCTGAACTGTAACTTTGCCCCACAGATTAACCTGTGTTGGGGTCCTGCCCTCATGAGAAAATTACTACGCAGTATTTTCTCCAAAGGACTATGCCATCTACGTCCTGAAGCGTAGACAATAAAGCATATTGATATCAGCGCCAGCAGGGACTCCATGTCCCATGATCCTCTGCAGCCGGCAGCAGCTTGATGATGTCATCACGCGATGCCAAGTCTGACCGGCCCAGTGAGATACCGGCCCCTACAGAGACCGCCCGCTGGACGAGTCTATAAAGCCGAGGCGCAGAGCGGAACTCTTCCTCTTCCCGTACAGTTCATCTGGTGTAAAGAGACCCCCCCGTCTCTGCTCCTACCGCTCCAGACAGCGTGTGTATGAGGCCTAGCTGCTGAGATCAACGGACCAATGCCATCTGATCTGCTCAGCCCCGGACACAGAGGGACGTCTTGTGTTCGTTCATGCAAGATTTTCTTTTTTTTATCTCTCTCTTTCTCTCCCGCTTCTCTAATAGTCCAACACAAGCGGTCGACCACGTGACTGCTTTAAATTAACAGACGGTCTCTCTCTTCCGTACGAAAAGCGTCAACGGACCATTTCGAAGTAAGCTCCGTTCTTTTATTGTTTAATATCTAAGTTTGTTTATGCTGTGGCCAGGCTGACAGACTGTTTAGATATGTGATTTGCCTTTATGACTGATCTGAAGTTTTTTTTTTAATCTTTGTGAAGTGATTTGAAGTGTTTTGATTAAGTTTACTGTGAACGTTTGCTCACACCGTCAAATACATATCTGATCAGGGTCCCACACCCACTGATCGTGCGTGTTTGGGAAGACAAGCTAAATTCCACACACACACACACAATTCGATCCTTTGGTCAGCCAAACAAAGGATCCGCCATTTTGTTTTCAAAACTCCCTCCAGTTTGGTAATCAGCCTATCTCTGCCTGGTTACATCATCAAGCAGCCTCACCATTGCTGATCACATCACCATCTCACCCCACCAGTCTGATTAGATTGTTACTTCACATTATCATTCCATGGTTTCATTGCTTGTTGTTTGTTTGATGAAATCAGTTGGTTGATATTGATTGGCTAGTGCTTTGAAGGAGCTAAGGTGATTATATTAGTCAATAAATGTTATTGCCAATTAAGTTTTGTCTCAAGTGAATTTGTCTGTGTTGGATAGGATATGACCGCTGCTCGTTAAAAGAATTTTACGAACTTTTGACAGATTGATAGAGGTTTGGATTAATTTTTCCCCTATAAAAAGGGGTGGTGCCCCGAGGCATATCCACGGATATCCTAATTACGTAATAAATCGGTAAATATTTCCATATTTACGAATTTTATTGATGAATCCAAAGAGTAAGTAAAGCTTACACATTATTTGTTGGCTAATAACCACAACACCCGTGAGGAGCCATGATGTCTGCTTAAACACCTTCTTTATCTGCTGTTCCGTCCCAAGATGAAGGACACTTCAAGATTTTACAATAATAATTTTAAATAATAATTTTAATTAACTTTGACTTTATTACTGTTTATTACAATCATCATAAATCTTGGTTCAGTATGAATGTATTTTAATTACTGAAATTACTTATTATGCTTTGGGTAATAATGATAATCCGTAATGTGTGTTCAGTAAACCAGAAGGTCATCTTGCACGTTTAACCACCTCATGCAGAGGGTATCCAGGGTAAAGTTAAAACACTTCACATGTCTTTACTCATGGCCAAGCTTTCTGACGCTGAGAGTGCATGTTCTGAGGGTTTTGTTAAAACCAAATCCCACAGCTGTAAGAGTAGTTCTTGAACCATACCAGGAGACGAGAGGCGGCCGCCCAAGTCTCTACTAAGCATTCTGTCATGCCGATAGTCTTGCTTCGAATAAACGCAACTGTAGCCAGCTGACGCCAAACTCCTTCTGAGTTATTGATTTTGATACGCAACCAGTTTCATCAGTTGTGTGACCCACGGAGACATCTCAGGGCCGATTTGGTCGCACTAAGGTCTTTCTATCAACCTCGTGCCCGGAGGACATCATCTCCACCTGACATCTTGGATCCAGAAGAGGGTCTCCTGATCTGGGTGAGTAAGACACTTTCGACAGATTGCGTCTTTATGCTGTTTTCTCTAAAGTTAGCTGCAAAACAATTTTCCACCCAGAACGCTTCTCTCGCTGAAAGAAACCTTCTGATTCATTCACGCATCGTCAGGAATGTTGGAGGGAAACTGAAGAATGCTGCATGTAGTGAAAATGATACCAAATGTCTTGTGTTGAGCTAAAAAGTGTGTATCTGGTAAATGACCCCATGAACTTACTGTCATGAGATAATGATATATGTGACTTTTACCTCGTCTAAGCTGGCCCAGGGAGGGTATAAAAGAGCAGCTCTGAGCAGAGCTGGGACACAGCAGCTGGAGCAGACGACAGAGAGAGACAGAGCAGATTTGGAGAGGTCATCCTCCGTCCTCTGGACGGGGGACAGAGGACGACAGGTCAGTTTTTGGAGAGAAGCAGAAGTACGAGTTTTGGGGCAGTCGACAGAGACAGAAGAAGCCGTAGCTCGAAAACAGAGTTGGTGTAAATCAACTCCTTATTTCTTAATTAATCATTAGGACTAATTTCTCCTTGGGGGAAGTGGTTAAACCTATATCTACTCATTTTTGTATTTTTTAATCTTGTAATAAACTTTTTGGAAAGATATTCACACTCCTGATTCTTCCAGGTTTTCTCTAAAGCTTAAAAGTGGGAGCCCTGACCATATAGGGCAGAGGTAAGCACATTAATTATAAGTTCCTGAGTTATCAGGATTTACTTTACGGTTTGTGACAGATTAATATAAAGAAACCTTAAGATAAAAGGAGCTTGTCTCCTTCCTCTCCCGCGAGTAACGGTGTCGTAAGGATGATAAAACCAAAACATTAGAGGTTAATTTTTGGCTCTGATTGCAAGTGTGAAAAAGTCTCTATCAGCGCTGGGAGGTTGGATTAATTAGATAAATTGATAAATCTATGTTAGCCTGATCAACTAACAAGAATCATTTTATAGTTACCAACCACCCACATAAGCTAACAGGGGCGCAATTAATCCAAATAACCCAAATAATTGCCAGCGGGCTGGCCTCCCGCCGGGCTTCGTCCCTAGTATCTAAACCAATAGATAACGGGATTGATTAAAAAGAAGTGGGCTATTACAAAGGGACAAGTCTTGCATATCATTCTACCTTAAAATAGAAGACTGATTCTAAACTTAGGAAGTCCATACCAGGGTCTAGTACAATAAAACTCACCAATATCCCCACCGAACCCTGAAAGATGCACAGTCTCATAAGTTCTAACGGAACTGGGTTTTAACGGAACCGACAAATGGGACGTGCACGCGACACTAAACGTAATTAATTACTAGGGATGAGCCGGATACTCGTCTGAAACGAGTATCCGGTACGGATAAAGCGTTTTTGATGAGTACGAGCATGACACGAGTAAAACCGGTAAATATCTGTAATCGTGCTGAAGGAAAATCCTCATTGGGTAACTGACTGTCTTCACGCTCTGTGATTGGCCAGTCGCATAGAGCGCCCGCACTCCCTACACACAAAACTCTCCAGCCGGCCGGGAGCTCAGTCCATCCAGCTCATCCATGCACACATACAGACAGTAGCGGATCTCGCTGTGATTGCTTCACTGTTGCTCACGTTTCTTCAGTTTTCCCTAGGTTTTCTTCAGCTCGCCTCTTTTTCGGTTGAATATTTAAATTTACTTTTTTCGTAACTTACATGGTGCATTTGACAAGACAGAGCTGACGTGCTGCATCAGTCACTCCCTACCTCCGCTCCGGTCGGGTCTTTTTTTTTTTTTTTTACTCCCTCTATCTCCCTCTCTCCCTCTCTATCTCTCTCAGACACACACACCTTAATCAACATTGTTTTGTTTAACTTTGTGTGGGGCAAAATGCCAAGAACGTTAAGAAAAACATCAGTTTAATCAAATTAAAATTAAAAAATATATATAAAGTTGTGTCTGGTTCTAGCATTTCATATTTCCTAGTTCCTACTGCATGAGTTCAGATGTATTAATCCATGCACTTAAATATTAATGTTCTGATTTTATTGAAACACTTGTTCTGAAATAGTTCCTTTACTATTGTGATAAAAAAATATTTAATCTCAATTCTGAGGCTGCTCTGTAAATAGTTTAATCAAATAAACAATACACATAGCAACTTCTGATCAATCCATATTAATTTCAGACTGAAATTAATATATTGATGTAAACCACACTCACTTCCGGTTAAACCACGCCCACTTCCGGGTTATGCCACGCCCATTCCAAGTACAGATACAGATACAGATAATTTAGTTGGTTGAACAGATAAAGATACATATAGTGGTGTACTCGCTCATCCCTATTAATTACGTTCTCCAAACAACTAAAACTACAATCAAAACAGTTTAGATGGAAATCAAAGCCATTTAAGATATTATTGAATTGAGATACAACAATACCCCTCCCACTGTCCTAATAGGTGTGACCCCGCGAGGAAAGTTCATCATTGAGCAGGATTGATGGTTTATCCCTTGGGTCCACGTGGCAGGGGTGAGCACCACCTCACCCCTGCCACGTGGACCTCAAGGGATAAACCATCAACCCTGCTCAATGGTCAACTTTCCTCGCGGGGTCACCCATAAAGACAGTGGGAGGGCTACATGAAGTTTACTTTAGAAGAAAAAAAATCTGGTCCTTGAACAAATTTAGTTGAGCACCCCAGTATAGACAAACTGGAATTTGTCTGATGAATAAGACTTTAGTGGTTTTCCTCAATCCTATCATGTCCAAATTTAAGACATGGAATTTGTGGGTCAACTGGATCAAACCGTGTTCTGAGATTTCACAAAAATCAGTGTAGAAGGAAATCCCCTGTCTGGACCAGTATGGACACCAGTATAAATACCAGCATTCTTGTACTTACCTTCATTTATTTATAAAGCACTTAAGGTTCCACCCGGACCCTCGGCGCCATCACCCTTAGGTTTCTGAAAAGCTGAATTAGAGCTCAATGGTAGGTTCCCACCACTGCCATCTTAGCCACGTGTTTCGTCACACCTGTAAAATGCAAAAATAGAACTAAGAGTGGGGCTTTGAGGATGGGGCAGATGACTGACAACAATCTAAAGGACACACCCTTAACAATGGCTAACTGCATAACAGAAACAAACAGAAGTGGGGGGGGGGGGTACTTTTAGCCAGAAAACCATGGTTGAACGACTCTGCTACCATAAGAGTCCTTGGCTGTAACACTCACAAGCATCTGGCTGTAGACATGCAGCTGGCGTCTTTGCCGTGACAGGAAATGACGTATCCGGAAAAACAAGACATCGGGTCATTACCTTCGCCGGAAGTAGTTTGGATTTGTCGAGAAAAACCATACAGTGTCGTTCTCTTCGATATGTACATATTTAAGAGAAATATTACACCGTGGGTCTTTCCCTTAACCAGAAGTCATTACTTTCACTGGAAGTAGTTTTTTTTAAACAAAACTTACCGGAAAAAGCTTTTTATTTCGGATTTTTTTTTTCTCTTCAGATCTGGACTGGCAATCTTTTAAATAACGTTGTATTAAATCCCTTTGTCCTTCAGACAGGGAATTTTATGACAGTAGCACATACATATGTGTATATATAAGATAAGATAAGATAAGATAAGATAAGATAAGATAAGATAAGAACAACTTTATTTATCCCGAGGGAAATTCTTGTGTCATGTACATGCACAAAGCAGTAGGAGAGACAAAGGAACAGGTGAAATAGAAACATGATATACAATATATACAGTAAAAAATTATCTACAGTAGTACCCTGTAGGATAGTGCAAAAACAAACAATCGCATATCTCAACAAATAAATACATGACTGCATCCTTGTGAATAAGTAATTAAGTCGTCGGTGCAGGAGATTCACAAAAGTGATTAAAGTATTGTGTAATAGAATAAGGGTTTGTAGCAGCATATGATATGATGGGGGGATAAAAACATATTTACAATCAGAACTCTTGGGTAATATTGCACAGTCTGGGAGGGAACAGAATAACCTAGGTATAGGTATTAGGAGAATCACCTACAGGGTGAGGAAGAGTTAAACAATCCCATTGCCACCGGTACAAAGGATTTCCTGTTGCGGTCAGTTCTGCATTTCGGGGCAATGAGTCTTTTGCTGCGTGTGCTTCGATTGGTCCATCATGTGGGCGTGCATGGGGTGGGTGGGGTTGTCCATGATAGAGAGAAGCTTTGTTAGCATTCTCCCCTCAGACACCTCCTCCAGGTTCTCAAGTCTAACACCCAGGACAGACCCAGCCCTTCTAATCAGCTTGTTCAGCCGGTTGGCATATATATATAACAATAAAAGGCTGTAAAGTGAATAAGAAAACATATATGGAAAAAATGAGAACACATATAATAGTATAATATATAGAACACAAAATAGTACTTGCTAAATATTCAGTTTCATTGTTAAGCCCAAGATGAACTTTTGACCTACACCAATTGCTAAAGTATAGGACTCCCAGAAGCAGTGAAAAACATTTCAGCAACACTCCTCTCTCACCAGCAACTAAATTAGTTACAAAATATCCATAACACTGTCCTATTGTGTATCACAGCAGCTCACAGCAACAGAATTTAACTACTACAGCTGATAACTATTTAGCTAGTTGGTATTTATTTTTAGTGAAAGACAATAAAACCAAAGAAACGCTTAATTTCAAAACCATTTTATTTAGGGTACAAATGAATTTGCTGAAGCATGGCTTTCTCAGCTGCATATCCATTCATCCCCTCCCATTTTTCCAACACTTTTATTGTTACCTGAAAAACATGCAGGACTACTTCATTGTCGTCGTCGTCGTCTTCTTCCGCTTATCCGGGTCCGGGTCGTGGGGGCAGCATCCCAACTAGGGAGCTCCAGACCGTCCTCTCCCCGGCCACCTCCACCAGCTTCTCCGGCAGGACCCCAAGGCGTTCCCGGACCAGATTGGAGATGTAACCTCTCCAACGTGTCCTGGGTTGACCCGGGGGCCTCCTGCCGGCAGGACATCTCTGTGAACTCTGTCCTCAAGACTGCTCTTTCTTCTCTGCTCCACGAACCACAGCCCGCAGTGGAGGAACAGCTGTTATCTTTAAGAAACACTTTTCGTGCCAAATTATATCCTCAAACTCCTACAGCTCATTCGAGATGATCATGATTAAAATTGGTCGAGTTCCCCAGTTTATGGAATTCTGGTCTATCGCCCACCTGGATCAACTTCATCCTTCCTGTCTGACTTTCAGGACCTCCTATCTTCAACTATTAAACTAGACAGGATAATCATTGTTGGAGATTTCAACATCTACGCTGAGGATCTATCTAACAGCTCTACCAGGAAGTTCCTAAACATGATGAACTCTTTTAACTTCTCTCAACACTTGTCTGGTCCCACTCACAGAGCAGGCCACACCCTGGATCTGGTCTTTCCCTACGGACTTCTTGTTGGTAATCAGGAGCCTCGCAGGATGCACAATTCCATACCTCAGAGAAGGGATGGAAAGAGAGGCCAAAGCTTTCTTCACCGCAGTAAAAGATTTTTGCCTCTTGAGTAATTCAGGCGAGACATCTGGGAAAAACATTATTTTCTGATTGTCCAAAAGTACAGTACCTTTAAGTTGTGCTGCGTTCATTATCCGTCCATTATCCGCATAATTCAGAAGTTTCAACAACATCACACGGGGTCGAGTAGCCTGTCGGGGGTTGGAGGCTCCAGCTCCTGCTGTTTCACCAACACGTGTTGGTGATACGGACTTCTTGTTGATAAGCTGCAGATACATGATGTTGTGTTCAGTGACCATAAGCCAGTTTCTTTTCATATCAACCTAAATTCTGAATCTCTTTTACCAGACTCTGCTAAGCAAAGATGTATTATGAACAGTTCTACCATTTTAAATTTCTCCTCCCTCTTTGACTTTGTACCTCCTTCCTCTGATGACGTAGAGCTCCTTACCAACTCATTTAATGATCACTGCCTCAAAATTCTAGATCAGGTCGCTCCTTACAAAACCAGCCGCAGTTCCAGTGCCTCGACTTCACCCTGGCTGAACAACCACATTCTTGAAATTAGACGCTCCTATAGAAAAGCGGAACGACGGTGGAAGAGGACAGGTCTGGTTGTTCATCGCGAATATTTTAAAGAACTTCTCGAGTCATACAACCAAGCTGTAGAAAATGCCAGATCTTCTTTCTTCAGCAACCTCGTATGTCAAAATAAGAATAATCCTAAGGTTTTGTTTGATACCATCTCCAGCATCGTGTTTTCTCCTCCGCAGCAGGATCAGCTATCTTCAGCTGATGACTGTAACAGATTTCTCCACTTTTTTGCAAACAAGGTGTTAAATCTGAGATCCAGCATTCCACCATCCCCCCCCCCCCCCCCCAGGAGGGGAGGCCCCTCAGTGCTCCGAGTCCTTCACCTCCTTCTCCCCAACTACACTAAATGACTTAACCTCAATAATCAGTGAGATGAAGCTCTCATCATGCTCTTCAGATTTCTTAACTCCCTCTGTCTTAGTCGGGTCCCTTGGCGCTATCAGTCCATCTCTGTTGACTATAATCAACAGCTCACTGAGCCAAGAATGTGTTCCATCTTACTTTAAAAATGCAGTAGTGACTCCTCTCTTAAAGAAACCCAACCTTGACGCCAGCTCCACCAGTAAATTTAGGCCCATTTCTAAACTACCTTTCATCAGCAAAGTACTTGAGAAGGTGGTTGAAACCAAACTCAGATCCTGGTTTTCTAAGTCAAAGATCTCTGACCCCTTCCAGTCTGCCTTTCTGAAGCAGCACTCAACTGAGACTGCTTTAGTAAGGGTGCATAATGACCTCCTAATGGCTGCTGATGCAGGGAAATGCTCTGTCATGGTCCTGCTTGACCTCAGTGCAGCTTTTGACACTGTAGACCACAACGTTCTACTAAACAGGTTAAAGGCCCTGGCTGGGATTTCAGGTTCTGCTCTAGACTGGCTCTCTTCCTATCTCACTAACAGAACATTCACAGTGAAGTCCGAAACCTTCTCTTCAGATACTGCCTCTCTAACATGCGGGGTCCCACAAGGTTCAGTTCTAGGGCCTCTACTATTTGCATTCTATATTCTTCCCCTAGCTGGCATCATTCAGTCTTTCCCAGACATCTCCTACCACATCTACGCTGATGATATTCAGGTCTATATGTCCTTTATGCCACACCAGTTGGACAGGCTGGCCACCCTTGTACTCTGCCTGACCCAGATCAGTAACTGGCTGTCCAGCAACTTCCTAGTCCTCAATGCTAACAAGACAGAGACCCTGATCGCTGCACCCCCGGAACTTCAGCCAAAAATCGAGCAAGAAATTGCCTCTTTTTGCCCATCAGCCAAGGCCAACATTAGAAACCTGGGAGTTATTTTTGATCCAGTTTTAAGTTTAGACTCACACGTCAAAACCATCTCCCGCTCTTGTTTCTTTCAACTGAGAAATATTTCAAAAGTCCGTAAACTGGTTTCTACTGCAGATCTGGAAAAAATCATCCATGCCTTTGTGTCATCACGCTTAGACTATTGTAACGCTCTTTTTACTGGTCTCAGCAAAACCTCCCTCTCACACCTTCAAGCCATCCAAAATGCAGCAGCCAGGCTCCTAACCAAATCCAGCAGACGAGCCCACATCACTCCAGTTTTACAGTCCCTCCACTGGCTCCCGGTATAATATAGAATACAGTTTAAAGTTTTAGTCCTGACCTCGACAGATCGACAGGCGGATTGGTTCGGCGTCTGCAGTGATGCGGACGCTGAGCCGATCTGTCGTGGGGAAGAGGGAGCTGAGCCAGAAAGCCAGGCTCTCGATTTACCGGTCGATCTACGTCCCAATCCTCACCTATGGTCATGAGCTTTCGGTAATGACCGAAAGAACGAGATCGCGGATACAAGCGGCCAAAATGAGTTTCCTCCGTAGGGTGGCCGGGCTCAGCCTTAGAGATAGGGTGAGGAGCTCGGACATTCGGGAGGGACTCGGAGTAGAACCGCTGCTCCTCCGGATCGAAAGGAGCCAGTTGAGGTGGTTTGGGCATCTGGTCAGAATGCCTCCTGGACGCCTCCCCGGGGAGGTGTTTCGGGCATGTCCTGCCGGCAGAAGGCCCCCGGGTCGACCCAGGACACGTTGGAGAGGTTACATCTCCAATCTGGTCCGGGAACGCCTTGGGGTCCTGCCGGAGGAGCTGGTGGACAAGGCCGGGGAGAGGACGGCCTGGAGCTCCCTAATTGGGATGCTGCCCCCGCGACCCGGACCCGGATAAGCGGAGGAAGACGAAGACGAAGAAGTCCTGACCTATAGAGCTCTTAACAACCAGGCTCCAAGCTACCTAACTGACCTTTTATCCCCACACACCACCTCACGGAACCTCAGATCCACATCTGAAAACCTCCTGACTGTTCCTCGAACCAGACTGAAAATCAAAGGGGACAGGGCCTTTCAGACTATTGCCCCCAGACTTTGGAACAGTCTGCCTTCAAATCTCAGTCTCTCTAACACTGTAGAGGTCTTTAAAAATCATCTAAAACTCACATTTTCATCCCGATGTTCCCTCCCTAAATGTTCTAAAAGATGGCTTTGTTCGGGTTCACACCTTCACTTTGTTTTTACTCGTGATTTTATTTACTATTTTATCACTGCTATTGTTTTTCTGATGTTTTTATTGGTTAGAGGTATTTGCCCTGATCTTTATCATGTTGTACAGCGCTTTGTGATTCATATCTGTGAAAGGCGCTCTATAAATAAACTTTTACTTACTTACTTACTAATGTGCTCATCAGCCTTTGAATGAATTCATTCGTGGGGTTAGGATTCATGGCACAGTATGGGGAGCAAAATTAAGACTACTGCCCAGCAGCAGGAGGCTATATAAGTTCCGATGCAAACTACCAGCCTGATTAATGATAAGCTGGCACCGGTAACTGAGACGCTGGTGCTGCTTCCTGAGAAATAGCACCTTTACCGGCATTACTACTAGATACGCTAGGGACTAGCAGCCCTCGGCTGGTCATTGACTGGATCACACGCTGTCTATTAGCATGGATAGGCTAGCGTTAGCCTGGACGGGCTGGTGTTAGCATTGCAAAGGCTAGCTATTAATCTGTATAACAACGTATTCTGTCAAAGGAACAACTGTGATTGCAGGTCTCATAGTATGTCATACATTTAATAAAAGTACAAAAAAATGCATCTAATAGTGTAAGTGGCTCTCCGACACATGCTAATGGCTAGCCTCTCTGATGCTAACGCCAGCCTATCATGCTAAACGTCCGTCGAGGGGGTAGGAAATCCAGCTAGTGGCCAGCCTAGGCACGCTAATGGCTAGCCTCTCCGATGCTAACACCAGCCCGTCCAGGCTAACGCTAGCCTATCCATGCTAACAGACAGCAGAGGGAGTATGTGATCCAGTCAATGACTAGCTGAGGGCTGCTAGTCCCTAGCGTATCTAGTAGTAACGCCGGTAAAGGTGCTATTTCTCAGTAAGCAGCGCCAGCCTCTCAGTTACCGGCGCCAGCTTATCATTAATCAGGTCGGTAGTTTGCTTCAGGATTTATATAGCCTCCTGCTGCTGGGCAGTAGTCTTCATTTTGGCCCCCATACCATGCCATAAGGATTGTTTACATTCTCCACTGTAATCTGTGATGTAATGTGTGTGTGTGTGTGTTTGTGTGTGTGTGTGTGTGTGTGCGTGCGTGCGTGCGTGCGTGTGCGCGTGCGTGCGTGCGTGCGTGCGTGTGTGTGTGTGTGTGTGTGTGTGTGTGTGTGTGTGTGTGTGTGCGTGCGTGCTTGAGTGCGTGTTTGTGTGTGTCTGCTCTGTCTTCTCCATCCCCAGTGAGTCATGGAGGATGGCTGCTTATACTGAGCCAGGATCCTCTGGAGGTTTCTTCCTGTTAAAAGAGAGTTTTCCTCTCCACTGTCGCTACATGCTTGCTTAGTATGAGGATAGTTGTAAAGACTCTGACACTAGTCAGTGACTCGATGCAACCTGCTGGGTTCCTTATATAGAAAACCTTTTTCTGATTGGCTTAATGAACTGAACTGTATTGGACTGTTTACTGTGTGAAGTGCCTTGAGACGACGCTTGTCGTGATTTGGTGCTTGATAAACAAACTTGAATTGAATTAATTTGTGTTCTCCTGTTTGTTGTTGTTGTTGTGTCATTTCATGCTAATTGTAAAGCACACTGAATTACCTTGTGTTTTAAATGTGCTTTATAAATAAAGCTGCCTTGCCTGATATTGACAACAACAACAACAATAATAACAAACCCATTAAATTATGTTATTCTGTCATGTGTTAAAACATCATGACCATAGAGAATGTATTGTTGACACATTTATTTACAAACATCTAAAGAGAGATTTAAAGTTTCATACACTTTATGAACAATATCAGTGCTTTCATTTATTGTCGACTTGAGCTTCACTCCCCTCTCCTCCCCTCATGGAGCCAGATTCTTTTTCCTAAAGAAAAGAGTTTTACAGCTCATTCGTATTTTCCTCAGCTGGACTCCATAAAGAACCGGGTTCAGAAGCGGCTGACACGTGATAAAGTACACAGACAAAATAATCCGTAGGATGTGTGGAACGTAACTCATGTCGAACCTGCCTTGGGAAACCTCAAAAAAACAACCAAACGAGAAGTTTAGCAGAGAGACCAGGTGTGGCATGCAGGTGCTGACGGCCTTCTGCCGGGTCTGACCGGAACCAGAGCAGCAGACTCTGAGGATCCTCATGTAGGTGTAGACGATCAGAACAGCCAGACCAATGGGAACGGTGAACGTGTAAACAAGTCCATAAACGTTACTGGCTGTTGTGTTGCTGCATGCTAATTTTACAACATAATAATTGTTGCAAAACAGCCTGTCAATAATATTTCCACAAAGCTGAGAGGAGGCACTTAGTGATGTCAATATGATAACATAAAAAAGAGGGAGACACCAAGATAAAACTATCAGACGGACGATCATGTTAAGGGACATCAGTGTTTTGTACTGAAGAGGGTGGCAGATAGCCAGATATCGGTCATAAGACATGGCAGCTAAGTTGTAAAACTCCACATTTGCATACATGTAAATACAGACGATCTGCAGGAAACAGAGAGGAGCAGAAATGGTGTGAACATCAGAGAGAAGCTGAATCAGCAGGGAGGGAAACAAGCCTGTACTTCCATACAGCTCATTCACTAACAGGCTGCACAGAAACATGTACATGGGTTCATGCAGAGTCCTGTTCACACAGATCACCACGATGAGCAGAACGTTACAACCAATGATTAAAACGTACAGGATCAGAACTAACACAAAGACAAAGTACTTCAAAGGCCCGATATCCAGGTAGGCACTGAAGGTAAAATATGACACCTGTGAAAAATTCATCGCCATCATCAAAAAGAGCAAATTCATTAGAAGTTGTTAATAAAAACAATAAACTAGATTATTGGGAATCGTATGAAGAATCAGAGGTTTTTAAATCATCCCAGTTCTATTAAAGGTTCCTGACAGCAGGTCAGACTCTAACCCTCACACCACTAACACAAACCTCTCAGCTAAATGTGTCCTCAACTCATGTCCTTCTTTTAAACTCTTCATCGTCATTCTGCAGCACCAAAACGCACACACACACACACACACACACACACACATGCACACACGCACACACACATGCACGTACACACACGCACACACACACATGCAAGCACACACACGCACACACACATGCACGTACACACACACACATGCAAGCACACACACGCACACACACATGCACACACACGCACACACACACATGCACATACATGCACATACACAAATGCACACATACACGCGCACACACACATTCACGTACACACACACGCGCACACACACATGCACGCACACACACATGCACGTACACACACACACACGTACACACACACACGCACACACACAAATGCACGTACACACACACATGCGCCTAGAGCTAGTTTGTGGGGTGTATCTCAATGTCAGGCGCCTTACTTACGAGGACACTGTCCTTCCTTGGTCAAAGAAAACGGTTAAATGGAACAGACTTGCATCACGTGACCGGGGCTTCCATGGCAGTCACGTGACAAGGAAGATAACATTATATTTTATACGTATTATTTTCATTATAAATACATAACGAGCCTTTTACTTGTAAAATTATGTATATGTTTATTAAATTAAAAATATATGTGAGTTACTACCCGCTAACCACCGAAGCTGTAGCTACTAAGCAACTAACCAACAATAGATAACTTCTTTGGATCTAAACAAAACATTTTTAATTAGCTGACTTACTTTTAAACTTGAAAATTGTCACCGAAGTAGCTGCCGGCTTCTGATCCGCCGTCCTTTTGGAAATACAGCGGTGTATTCTGGGTAATTTTTGACCAAGGCTAGGCTACAAGACACCTCCCGTGTACCCGTACTCAGCTAGCTAAACAACTAACAAACGGAGAACACACGCCACGGTAGAACATGAACATTGGAACACGTCTT